TTTATAGCTTACTATGTTGTATGGTATTTTCTCATTGTTGAAGGCCGTACAGGGACCTTTACCTCTACGTACTTTATTAGATTTCCAATGGAGAGTGGTTTCATTGGCAATCCTTCCTCATCGTTTTATTTGTATATCAACTATATATCTAGTTGGATGCCCTTTATTTCTAGTTCGATAAAATAGACGTGTTCAACAAACTTCCATGCATTTTGTGAGAGGATATCACCTTTATAGCTATCAGTGAATTTAACAAATAAAGCTCGCGTAGGGGAGAACCACAGTAACTGTTGTTACAAATGTATGCATCATGTGTACATTAACGTAGAAAATGTCACATGATAACACTCGTTTATTTTGACCAATTATATTTCATAAAGAAATGTTATGGTTAACAATAACCATGTTCAATCTATATATAATTGCAAAATCTGCTAAAGGGCGTAGCATAGGCCTAAAGTACATCTCTGTGTTTTACAGTCTTTAGTCAAATAACTTTTTCGAATTGAGATTTGTTTTGTTCCAATTTTTTTCTAATATCGGGAAATTACAATAAAAGGTCTAAAAGGTAAAATCACAAAAATACTGAACGAATATTTATAGTATGTTGTTTGCCAGCATTCTGTTAAAGTGCACTGTGCGGCTAGAGTTTTCTATAATTAGTTGCAATTTTCTGGTTATTTCGTAATTTACATCATCTTATTTATTAGTTTGCCATTGCAGGTAGAGAAGAAAAACTATTGTTCTCTACTGAATACACAGTGAAAGAGATTGATCTGGATACAGGTGTTGTGAAGGATCTAGCTAATCACAGTACAATAGTATATTCCATAGCTTACGATGTGAAAGAAAGATATGTGTATATTCCAAGGTTTTATGAAGCCGTCATCGATAGGTAGTGCTAATTAGTAATTAGAATTTAATATTTGTTTTTATACTGGCATTATCTTGATATTTATTATATACAACAAAAGCATATGTTGTCAATAAATGCATGTTACGTGTTTCGTGGAACAAAACGAAAGAAAAGAATATTAGAATTAATTAGAATTAAACAGAAAAATATTTTGTTAGCTAGACAAGCTAATAAATGTATTAATGGATTATTGTAAAAATGCTCTCTTTAATAAAAAAAAAAAAAAAACCAAAAACAAACAAAAATAACGAAATCAAAAGAATATCAAAAACGGATTTTCTAGTATCAAAATGCAAAATTTAAAAGCTCAAATCCGCATTAAACGAATGGAAAACAACATAAACAATTGTCCTATTTCTTACTTGGTACATGCATTTGATTATGTAAAAAAATGTTTTACAGCTATCTAAAACTCTCATTTATCATGTTTATATGACAGTCGCATAGAATTTCATTATATGGACATCAATGTGTGAGCAAAACAGAAATAATAGGTAAAATGTCAAAAATTGGGGAACAGCAGTCTAGAGTCATTTTAAAGCAAATAAGTATTTCAAGAAAGAAAAATAAATGGAATCTATACACTTTAAGACAAAGCACATAATCAAAAATGAAAGAAAAGAATCCAAAAAATGACAATAGCATAATAACTCAATGGCGATATGTACAAATGAAGAGCCACGCCAAAAGAATAGACTAAACTCTGAAGGTTAAAAAAAATGCAAAGACAACTAAAAAAAACCGCAACACGTAATTAAGATGATAAACAATTTCAGTACGTAGAATCTATACTTTAATACAATCACTAATTATTTGTGAAGTTGATACTGATTATTTATCAATAATATCAGATACAGAAACATGCCTTGATAAAGATCATCAAACATACTGTAATACGATCGAAAGTCAATATCAATTTTATATTTTTGCATAAAAAGAGTTTTCTCATTTTTCAGATTCCCTTATCCGAATGATCAAACTGTAAATTTTGAAATTGTTGTTTCTACAAACTATCCATATTACGTAGCATTTGACTCTGAAAACAGTCATCTATACTGGACAGGATATGCTTCAAGAAAAATTATGAGATGTAATTCAAATGGATCCGACTTAACTACTATTGTTGATGTATCTTCTATTCCAATGGCACTGACATTAGACACACATACTAGGTTTGCTATTGTAGTTACTCTATGTTCTTGAATGTTGGTTATTTAATGTCATGTCCTGTTGTTAGACAATGGTAGTTGTGTTGCTTTGATGATATTCTCAATTAACATGTACTACGCATATGATATTATTTAAACATCAACTGTTGAAATTTGTTGACACGGTTTATCCGCCTCATTTTTATACTTATACCTCGAAATTGACGTAAGTGGTCATCTCAGTACCAAAATCTATGACATACGAGACGATATTAATTTTGATATTATCTATGTGGGTACATTATAATTAAGAATGAGGCGTTTTCTATGTTGTAGAAGTTATATGCATACCACTGAAGTTTTGTGTACGTGACTAAAACCAACCAAGAATTTACTAAGGGAATACTTAATTTAAGATAGTTTATGTATACCACTTAGGTAAAAGGGGAAAGTTTCCTTAACATTAGGTCGTGTCGGAGTATAAACGAAAAATGATAGAATTTTTTCATACCTTGACAAAACGTAGTACATATTGTGATATGTTCAAAAATATGTAAAAAATAAAAACAACACGTTATAAATTTAATGCGTCAAAAGCGCTTTTCTAGACTTACCTTTATAATTTCAAATTTAATAAACGGGCAACTTTAGAAATGTTTGCTATTAATCATGTCAGTACTGAAATACTGACTACAGAACTGATGATACCCTCAGGGACTGATAGTCAACCAGCAGATGTATCGACCCAGTGCTGTAAAATATAAAAAAACAAAACGTTATAAATTTAATTCGTCCGAAGCGTTTTTGTGAATTTACCTCCACCAGGATAAGAAATGAAAGGTCACCGCTACAGGTTGTGAAGAATTGTGTATGGGTTATACAACAATTTAAACATTCATGTGTTTATATGACGAAACATTTTTGCCGGTAAATATTATTCAAAGAATAAAGAAAGTATTGACAACCTTCACTTGAAGCTATCAAAGTTATCAAACGTAGTCAATTTTCACGTGCAAAATTATATGTAATTAATAAAACGTGGAATTTTTCTGTGCTGTTTTCTGAACCTCATCATGTTCATATTTATGTTTTTTCTCGAAATTCAACATGAGTCAATATAAAAGATTTTTTTTAAATATTTACTTTTATCAACATTATTAGATGGATCTACTATAGCAAAGCATCAAGTAATGCATTGCTCAGGGTGACATTTGACGGAAAAGAAAAGCAGGTAGTATTAAACCTTACATCACAACTGATAGATATAGAAGTAGGTATGTTATCCATAGAAAGAACTTGAATTATTATCGGTCAGTGTGACCGTATTGTATCTGTCTAATATAATGATTTAAAAAAAAATAAAGAAATAAAATTTAAAACTACATAAAGACAACGAATGAAATCATACAGTGAATATGACCTAACGGATCATTAAAAATCATCAGGAATTTACTGTATGAAATTTACTCCAATGTGTTAGTCACAAATATTATAAAGACCTTAGTTGAATGATTTAATATTAGTAAAATAAGATTATTAAGATGAACCCGTCGTAATTTCCAAACATTTACGCATTCCGTATCTGGTAAAAGAAAGATTCCTTGCTAAGCCATCGAAAATTAATTCAAAAGCTAAAATCTTTATATAACCAGACACACGATGTCTCGGATAAAGTGTGCATGCATAAATGTCAATAAATATGATTTGATGAAAAGCTAAAAGAATTTTAAGATTCACTATCAAGCAATTAACTATTAGTTTCTCAAACCGACACAACCTCACAATTTAGCAGGAATGTGATGTTTTTCAATGCAGGTTACTTCTGTGATCTTTCATGCTAGTTTTCTGGTTGTTATTTCAGATTTTGTTGACAAACGAATTTATTGGATGGAATATTACACGGGTGACTTTAAATCTGCTTTGTATAATGGGTCTGATGTCAAAACAGTGGTTAGTACCAATGTCAAATTAAATAACCGGGAAATTGACATCGGGAATAATTACGTCTTCTACACAAGTTCTAACAACATTTTAAAGGTACACAAATCTTCAGGACAAATCCCAACTGTTGTTCACACAGAACCAATACTGATTTATGGACTTTTATTTTATAAAAAGGAAGGTAGGAATATATCACTAATAAAGCATATAAAGTGTATTATTCATTTCAATGAATAACATTATTTACCTGAAACAATTATAATTACATGTATTAATAATGTTTTAAAGTAAATGATTATCATCATCGACCGAGGCCTAACTTTACAACTTACCTTGCAAAATTTTGAACTCAAACTAATCGTGTTAAAAAAACACGAAATTGAGAAAAGACAGACAACGACAGATTATACATTGTAGAAATAAAGCCTCTCTTAAACTGTTGTTTTCTGTTTCAATAGTATGCATTTTAATTGGTACCTTTCCCATTACTATGTTTTAACTTAATTAGTTGAACTGGTGTTTTTGTAGTACTATAAATGTTAATTATCTTTTTAAATGTTAATAATGTTTAAACTAAACAGCCTTAATTGATTCATAATTGTGGTAAGGTTTTAAGAACATTTAAAAAATTTAGCGATCAATTTTTGTAACTATTTATCATATTGATTATAAGATACTATAAGATATTCTACATAATTTTTTGTTAAAAATGTGTACTTACTGGTGCTTTAAAGCTTTATATGTATTAAAATGCTCTATTAATTCCAACTATGTATGCTCATGAGTTATATACGTTTCTTTATTATTGTTTTTATTTTCAATTTTCAGTTGTTGTGAAATAGTCTAAAACAAGTGATTTCGAGTTTGAAATTCTTTTTCAATTTCATTGATATAATGGCTATACAAAATCATGTTTGATTGTGCCATCCAATACTACATCTGTTGAGCTAATGTTTTTGTTGAACTATACACTTATAGTATCACTCTAGTTACATAAAACAAAAAAAAAGGACTATTATCAATAAGCAAGTAAATTCGTTGAAGGATCTGATTTTGCTTCGGGTGTACACGTGGTACAAATATATAAATATACCTTGTATTCCAAGCTGAAAAATGTTTGGCATATATCTAATATATATTTTCATTTATTTTGTTCTATTACGAACGTCCAGATAAATGAACAAATGAGCGACCATTGTCGTACAATGAAAGGTTGGTAATATTGAAATGAATATACATCAAAAGAACAGCATCACAACTACACTATGTTTCACTAAATTAAATGTATGAAAATGTCCAACCAATGTAATGTATTGAGTTAAATAATCTTCATGTATTCATGAACAAATTTTATTTTAGTTATCTTTAATGTTAAATGAATTGATGACAGTTCGCATATTCTTTTTCTATTCATGTTTGTAAATGAGTATTACATGCAATAAATACATTAGCTCCACACTTTTATGTACAAAACCCGTGATCCGTTCAAAATTGTCACATTTATTGTTTATTATACACACAAATTTATTATTGTAAAAAACTGTAAGGAATAAATACATGTATTGATCATTGCTCAATGTTTAGTGTGCCCATTCTGTTTTAAATTATAAAATGTTTTCGACTAAACATACTTTTTTTTCTTTATACTGCATACATTGATACGGTAAAAGAAGAAAAACGAATTTAGAAAAGTATGTTTCTGTTTGATGACAATAAATCTACGAATAGAAGACAAGGAAGAGACGAGCATGTTACACGAATGGTCACAGTAAGTATAATGAGCTAGCCAAAACAGTTTTGTTTCATAATAGGAGAATTTCAAGTATTTTTCAAGATTTGACTAGACTTACAAAATGCATCACATATGGTAAACTTTGCAAACCCTTTTTCTCAATTTTGACTTACTCAACGACTCTATCAACTGCTTGATATATATGGTAATTGTGCTCATTATTTTTGCCTTCATATTGCAGTGATTAGCCAATGGACCAAGGTTTTCCCACTATTGATTGGAATCTTTAACGAATAATTGATTTTACAAGATGGAAACTAAAAACAAACAATACCTTCAATGGGTAAGTATGTATCCTACAAACACTTTATTAGATATAAACTCAATATCAAAACATTGCAAAGCTTGTTACATGTGGAATAGTATATACTTCAGAAGTACGATGTTAGGAAAAATTGGACTTCGAGTTACAGGGGTTTATCACTTTTTCCGATATGACGTAGTATAGAACATTGTCATAAATGTGGTGTTGCGTATATGATAGTAACAGGCACATGAACCCCGTCATATTTTGTATGTGCCTGTCCCAATTCAAGAACCTGTAGTTCAGTGGTTGTCGTTGAATCATGTCTGTAAAATTTGTTTTTCGTTACAGATTAGGCCGTTAGTTTTCTTAATTGAATTCTTTTATATATTTCATTTCAGGGACTTTTAAAGCCGACTATACGGTATAGGTTTTTTTTTATTGTTGAAGGCCGTACTGTTGCCTATAATTGCTTACATCCACATCATTTGAACTTTGGTGGATAGTTGTCTGATTAGCAATTATACCACGTCTCCTTATCTTTATACTGATTAAAAAAAATTAGACAACATTCCTATCTGTTAAACGGAAGTTATCAAAAAATTAACACTTTGAAATGTGAACGTTCGCTTATTACGTAGTACGGTTTGAATATGTCTAAATAGTGAGATGTTATGATTTTGAAACTACAGTTAAACATCATAAAAATTAATATTATGCAACTGGTCTGAAACAGTTTAGTTATGATTTATATTAGAGGTAAAACATTTTTTGTCTGTCATTCTTAAAGATACATATATGTGTCTTTCTATGTTGTGATGTTACACTATTGTTTTAGAAAAAGGGTGAAGGTTTGGTACCATTAATACGTTTAAACTCGCTGCATTTGTTTGCACCTGTCCTAAGTCAGGAATCTGATGTTCTGTAGTTGTCGTTTGGTGATGTGGTTCATAAGTGTTTCTCGTTTCTCGTTTTTTATATAGATTAGACCGTTGGTTTTCCCGTTTGAATGGTTTTACACTAGTTATTTTTGGGGCCCTTTATAGCTTACTGTTCGGTGTGAGCTAAGGCTCCGTGTTGAAGACCATACTGCGACCTATAATGGTTTACTTTTATAAATTTTGACTTGGATGGAGAGTTGTCTTATTGGCACTCATACCACATCTTCTTATATCTACTATATGTCTATTACATAAAGAAAGTCATACTATACTCTGATATATGTTTGGATATTCAGATGACATGTCGTGAAACCATTCGAATTTGTTTATATTTCAGTACTTTGTGCGTTTGTGCTATAGGGAAAGAATATAAAAGTTTGTTTTTAATTCTTAAAATAACCGGGTAGTGTCAATGATTCTTTTCATGTACTTGTTAGATAAAACTTACTAATTTAATTCTCTTCATATTCCTAAACATTTAAGGCAACACCAAGAAACCTCCAACTCGTTCTATCTTTCGGGTTTTTCTCTATCTGATTCCAAGTGAAACAATGTCTTTTATCTCTGCCATGTCTCTTCTCCATGTGTCTTTATGTCTTTCTTGTCCCCTGTGGTGTCCATGTCAGCACTTTTTTTCACATGCCGGTTGTTTCCCATTCTTTAAATATGTCCAATATATTTTCATCTCCTTCTCATAAACCCATTTAGTATATTCATCATACCTGTTCTTTTTGATAGTTCACTAATTGAGATTACGTTTTGACATCTGATGTTAAATCCTCTAACTCGGCTTTCTAAATTTTTAGTTGTTCTCTATGTTTCTGAACTGTATAGCAGAACTGATCCAACATTGCTCATAGAAATTTTGTTGTTTTTCCATGTGTTGTGCAGGTTTTTGAATGCGGTAGCTGCTTTACCAATAGGAATGTTGACCTCTACTTCGCTATACCCTTCTGCATTGTTTCTACTACCAAGATAGTTGAATTATTTAACTTGATCCGGTTCTTTTCCGTTCACTGTTATTTCGTTCTTGTTCTTTATAGCTACCTTCATCACTATATCATTCTTTGCATTTATTTTCAGTCCTGCTTTTGCTGCCTCAGATGTAACATTATCAGTCGTTTGTTGCATATGTTCGTGTGTATGAGAAAAGTGTTGTAAGTCCCCACTGTATACCATGATTGTTCAGTGTCGCCTTCTTCATTACCCAGTCAACAACCAATATGAATGGAAAGGGAGATATTCCGGATATCTGTCTTATTCCAGATTTGATGTTATACAAGTCTGGTAGTTTTCAATCATGTCTGACTGCACATCTAAAACCATCATACATATCCATAATGATTTTAATTACATTCTGTGGAATTCCATACGTATGATGTACTAAAGAGACTATCTATGGACGCTATCAAATGCTTTCTCAAAGTTCACATAATTTATATATATATTGATAGTCTCTATTCTAGTGCATGTTCTATAATATTTCTGAGTATCAGAATGATATCAATACATGCACGGTTTGTTCTAAATTTGCGTTGTTTTTCCCATAAAAGAGAATCAATTTTGTCTTTGATTCGTTCTAGAATTATTCTACAAAGTATCTTTCCAGTCACTGCCAGTTGTTTCGATCTGTTAGATTGCCTTTCCTTGGTATTTTAATGATGATACCATATATCTACGGAGAAGGTTCTATTTCCCTTTCCAATTTTTCATTCAATAAATCAGGTCGGATGTTCAAATTGAGATTTATGTCTGCTTTTGATACTTCTGCTGGTATGCCATCTGCACCAGGAGACTTGTTGTTTTTAATTTTGTTAATGGCTGGTTTCATCTCATCATCTATTATGGGTCCCAATTTCATTTTTATTGGCCTTGGAGCGTCCTCTGACCTGCCAATTGAGATTTCTGGTTCATGTCTATTTAACACCTGTTCAAAATTATCTTTCTATCTTTCCAATTGCTTATCCTGTTTGCATATCATCTGGTAATCTCTATCCTTGATGTTAATACTGGTGATATTTACTTTGCCACTGAGTTGTCTTGTGATGTAATATAATAATTGTGTAGTATTTTAGGTAATGCATAGTGAACATTTACTCACACACAGGAAAACAATCATGGTCATGTGTTGCCTGTCTGTACACAATAATGATAAGAACATTATGGCGGTTTATGTGTTGCATGGTTTTTTTATTGACCTGTCATATACAATACATCACTAACGCGTCCTTAATAAATGAGTATATTAAGCTTAACTTAAGCGAGACCGGCTATCATTATCATTGCAACAAATTCCTTCAAGACTAGTTTAAGCAAAATATCTTTCAAATGATTTTTTTTAAAGTTTAATGATATTTTCTAGAAAGGTTATGTTAAAGGTAGAACGTTTATAACTGTTCGTTCTATTTTAGAAGATTAGTTTTTTTTATAGACCGAACCATACTTTGTTCAGTCGAAAAGTAAGTACCGATCGTATTAAACTTTAAAAAGGCTGCTAGTCAAAGACTCTTAGCACAAGTACTGCCAACATTTTGACGAGGTCCTAAGCACAACATGATTGTAACCTTGAAATTCAAAGTAAACATTATCAATGATGTGTAAAGTGTATTGCAAAATAAAATACTAACCAACAAAAAAATATGTAAAACAAATTTAGTTCAGGTAGTCTATTTTGTATTAAGATAAACTTTTTATCAATCAATGAGGTCTTTATTGTTTGTTTGTTTTTTTTTTTATTTTGTTTTTTTTTGTGTTTTTTTGGGAGAGTATTATTTTAAGTTCACTTAGTAATTATTCTTGCATGCATTGTTAGATGGATTTACTTTGGTGAAGAATTATCTAATAGACAGATATACAGACTAACATTTGACGGAAAGGAATTAACAGTAATGATACAGTTAAAGAAACAGACAACATGTGTGTTCGGTATAGGAGTAGGTATATTTTAACTATTGAAAGCTAAACATTCCCTCCCAAAAAAAAATACAATTATATGAACTGTAAAACTACTGTTGCGTATATCTATTTTGATCATGGTGAATTTTTCTTTTGCATAAGATAATTTCCTCAATTGCTTAAATGATAATGTTCAATAAAATAACAAAATGTATATATTACTGCTATATAAAAATAAGAAGATGAGACAACTATCCATCAGAGACTAAATCGCGTGGATATAAGCTCCTATGGATAACTGTAATGCCTATAACAATGAGCAAACCCCTTACCGTATAGTAAGCTATAACAAAATGTTAAATAATTTAATTGAGAAAATCAACAGTCTGATTTATAAACAAAACAAAAACAAAAACAAAAAAAATAGAGAGCACCAAACGACAATCACTGACCTAATGTTCCTGACTTGGGACGTGCGCATACAGAATAAGGCGGGGTTTGAAATGTTTGCCAACGCTCAACCCTCCTGTAACATGACAGAATTGCTCAGCATAACAGCACAGCATAAGAGCAAACTGTAAAAATCTGCTTAACTCAGCAGATAGATTTAAAACACACAGAAAAAAAAATACGGAAGACTAAAGACACTTATGTCTGCAAAGCGCTTTCGTTTCTTCTGTTTGCCTCACACGTCTGTATAGTTTAGTCGTTAATTCCTCACAAATAATTGTTAATTTAGTATACTATTTTAAAATGTTAATCATGCAGAAGGAAAATAATGTTTGACTTGTATGGTTAAAAATATCAGTTATTCTATCAGAGGAAAATGCATGCGTATTTTTATCATTCGAATATCTTTCTTTCAGAATACAAACTACTAACTACAGCATAAATCAAACATCTAAAATGAACTTACAGAACTGCTGGATATTAAACTTGTTAAATTTTGACGATATTCTCCTGGTGCAAATGTTGTTTTAGTCACAAGTGGTGTCAAGTACGGCAAAAATGAGTTTTATGTATTTTTAAATGGATCATTCAGAATCTTTTAGATTTGCATACCGGGTTCTAATTACGATTTCGCAAAAATATCTTTGAATTTTATAAATATACCATGTATACAGTTTTTCCGAAGAAATATCGTATCTCGAACTTGAATTTTAAATTTTAGCATCTTTAGATGTCCAGTTGTTTGAATAAGAAATGGCTAAATTAGCGGTACTTACTTATTGTGTATGCTAATGACAACTATTATCCATACAACACATACTGTACAACGCTAAATGCACAACTTGTCTACAGAAGTACCAACACTTCCGCTTAAGATTAGAAAAATGCCAAGTCAAGTACAAAATTGATGAGATTTGTAAATAAAACACTTGATTAAGAAAAGATAGCAATTAATGTATAAACGAATTTTTATTTTTTGTATTATTGACAAGGTACTGTGCTGCGGTTGATATTAAAAATATAGTCAGCTGTTGGTTTTATGTCTTCGTTTGCAATTATTATAGCTATCTGTTTTTAATAATTCAATTCAAATATTTATTGCCATATAAACTTTAAACAATAAGTTTGTGACAAATACAAAATTAGTAGACAATATAACTGTAATTCACATTTACACAATCATTTAATAACAGTTAATAGTCTAGTTTCCCCTGTCCTCAGTTCTAATTACTTTTGATGTAGGACCCCAATTTATTTATTAGTGATGGTGTTGATGGATTGAGTATAAAAATCACCTTTTCTTCATCAGACAAATCTTTAATAGAAAAGTTTAATTTCAAATTATCAAAAAAGTTGTTTCTCAGTTCCCTATTTAATTCACAATCTAATACAAATGTTTTTCATCTTCTCATATGTTACATTTAAGGCATACTGTCTGCTCTCTAGGAATAATAGAATGTCTTCCTTTTTCTATATTTAAATTATTGTCACCAATTCTTAGTTTTGTTATTTATTTTTCCATACAAATATATACAAAACTAATGAAAATTATAACAAAATCAAATGAAATTGATATTAAATTAACTTAATAAGAGACGCATTCATAATTTGTGAAACATGATATATACATGTGCAAACATGAAATTTAAACATAATTGTGTAAATGATTGGTTTCTATTGATTGTTCATTGATCTGAGCTTCACATGCCTTATTGTTTCGAACTGTAACTATATATGAATATAGATATAAATGAGCACATTATCGAAACAACAATGTCACAGGCATCACGTATATTTGGCAAGACCTTTCTAATCAAAACTTGTGAGGTTGTAAAGTCAGAGTTTAAGCCTATCTCCAAGACAAAAAAATAAAACAGTTCTGATGCATGTTGTATTTGATTAATGATAATTTTGAGATTGTCTTTGTTATATATTATTCATTAAAAGTTCTTTTTCAAAGATATGCATATAACACTAAGGAAACGATTGCATGCTTTGTTTGCACGTTTGTTCTCTCTACAGGTTATTGTTGCGTCAATTCTTAGCTGTTTTTTGATGTTTGTACATTGACATAATTGTTATTATACCATAACAAAATAGTGCTTGTGGTTGCTCATCACTTTCTAAACTGTTTTGGAATGTGATATTTGTTTTATAAAATATACTATAAATATATTCATCAGTACAGTACAAAAGTCACAGTTGTTCGTATAATGTTCACAATGTTAACAATGTTGACATACCATGCCTTTTACCTGTAGGTTCTTGAATTACCGTATACCTATCTGTATCCCTTTTATATTTTTATTGTTTTGATTATTTTAACTGACAATAAAACTTTTCAAATAATGTAGAAAATTGTTTTATTAGCTCATGTAGTTCAAAGGATCAATCATAATATATTGGACTTATTTTTGTGACGTCCTTAAGTTGTTTAAGATAAAATCATACACAATCGTCCATATGAGTGAGAAGTACACTAGTTTCATAAATCTATTTATATAAGCTCTTTAGAAAATTGTACAAAGCGATAAAATTCAGCATCTCAATTTACCAACATTTACCCGTAAATTAATTGTTGGATTGTAAGACGCAATATGCCGAGTAACAGAAAAGACAGGACATCAAAACTTATTCTGTAATCAATCATTATGAGCTTATCTTGGACCTCGGTTGTATTTAAGTTCTTCAGTTAGAGGTCTCAGCTGTCAATCAACTATAACAACGTAGACAAAAGTAAAGACCCTGCAATACACACTAAATAAAATACTATAAATACTAGTGCAAAGAAAGAGAACTCTGTCATGTCTATGAAACAAGTACATTTGCACCATATAGAATTTTAAGTAAAAGTAATTTGTAATTAATGCAAAAATACACTTCTACATGTATTCATTTTTATCAGTCAATGAAGCAAACCCCCAAAGCATTAAAATACATGAATCATTATGCAGCAACTACGGAAAGTCTAGTCGTTTTCTATATAGATTAGACCGTTGGTTTTCCTGTTTGAATGGTTTTACACTAGTCATTTTTGGGGCACTTTATAGTTGTTCGGTGTGAGCCAAGGATCCGTGTTGAAGGCCATACTTTGACCTATAATGGTTTACTTTTACAAATTGTTACTTGGATGGAGAGTTGTCTCATTGGCAATCATACATCTTCTTATATCTAGTAAGCAAAATAGGCAAATTGCTAACTATATTATAACAAGTAACGAGCTGTCAAGATGACGGCAAACTCGGTTTTCTTTATTTCAAAAGGCGCTTTCATGCTGTTTTTACATGCCACATTATATGCCTGTTTTCTTATCTATCAAGGACCATTACTCCTGAACGGCAAAAATGAAAATCGTCAATATCAAACTTGACAACCATTTTGTCATCAGTTTCAGGATATTACGTGACGATTTGTACCATATTTTTGATGTGATTTTGCGTATTATCTTGAAAAATATAATAAATAGATAAAAACCTTAAGAGCATTCATTATCATTAAGACAAGATCTACAAATAAGGCTGACCGAAATCCAAGTGAATTCCTTGTTGATGGTATTGTCCTTTAATAATGTTTTTACCAATTTTCAGGTGTTTTCCTTTATCTTAAAAATTATAAAAATAAACATTTGAGGCTAAAATGATCAGCAGGACAAGATCGACAAGTAAGTTAATAATACAGAATCCTCGGTTTACACCATACAAGAGTTATTGCATTTAAACTTTCACTTTTTTATATGTTTTGGGCAAAACCTATAGAAGATAGAGAGAAAATGTACACTGAGAAACATCAGCTATACAAGATCAAGAAAAAAAGAGATTTTAGTCTTGAATGATGTTCTAGTCTACAAGGTTGGAGAGTGTCCATTGTTAAAGATGCACATACCCTAGGTGAGCGACTCGTGTTCCTAAGAGCCTCTAGTTTGTTGAAATAGTTATTTGTTTTTATAGTGATTAAGATTATAAATCAATGTGAACTGCTGTGTACCCCAATTTTTTACATTTTTACTTTTCATGTCTCTTTGTTTTGCTTACGTATTGTTGTCAATATAATGGAATTCCATACAGTCAGGAATATGACATTTGTTTTCTATTCGTTTGGTGTGTTTGAGCTTTTGAATTCGCCATTTGATGGATTTTCCGTTCTGAAGTTTTTGGAGTTCGGTATATTTTAATTTTTTTAATTATTGATCCTTCAACCTGTTTGTCTTATATTTATCTAATATATGACACAACATTTCTAAATATATAGAAGTATATAGAAGTTATAACGTCAAAAATGGCGAGCTTAAAAAAGGAATAAATGACTACACATTAAAACGTGGTGCTAAATGAGAGGGAACAGTTCATATTTGAACAAAAAATGTCTAACTCTATGCAGAGAATATGTTTTCAGAGGCACAAATTACAAGCAAATGTTTAACACAAAGTTATAGATAACAAAATAGGTAGAACCTAGGTATATACCGGATATACTGGATATCGTTTCTGTGACAATTTTTTGGAATCTTTTCTCTTTATTCAACCAAATGAATTTGAATCCTGTGTCTATGCAAAAGGGAGGTGTTGTGGTGAAAGTTTGTTAGCTTCGAAAAGTTTTAACTTCTATTTTTTTATAGTAAATTATTTGATGCAGATGATTATATTGTGTTTTGTGTTTGTCTGTATGTCTGTTTGTTTTCTCTTTTTTAGTCATGGCGTTGTCAGTTTATTTTCGACTTATGAGTTTGAATGTTCCTTCTGTTTCTTTCGCCTCTCTTTTATGAATACAATTGATTACCTCAGATAATATTTTAGCTCAGGATGATCCGTTGAATTTTGATCAAAGCGATACGGTTATAAAAAAATATATAAATATACCAGACTTATGGTCTTTTGGGTTGAGATCCTTAATCTTTGACCTTGAGGTCAATGTCACATGTCAATTTGACGTTCTAAAATTTGACCTTTGCTTTAACTTCATACTGGTACATGATAAAGCCATACATTATTTTGGAATAGATTGGACGACATATGGCCTTGAAAAAAAAACAACTGGAAGTGATTTAATGTGAACCGAAAGTAGCCATTTTTCCACAAGTTTCAAGAAACGTACATAGAAACCATATCTTTTTAGATTCAACATAACGTAACCTATCACATAAACTGGAAGTGACACTTTGTGGACCGGAAGTTGCACATTATCTCCCTTACTTCTTGCAAAAGTATTTAGAAGCCATATATTTTTGATATCAGTATTATGTATTAAACTTTTATTTGACACCTTAACTGACAAATTGTAGTTCGGAAGTATCTAATTATCTGCCTTATTTCAAAGGGAAATACATATAAACCATATTTTTTTTCAAATCAATGTAATATTAGCTATTATATGACACCGAAAGTTGTTTTGTTTTTTAGACCGGAAGTAGCCAAGTATTTCCTTTATAATACATACAAACTATTTTTTTGTAATCAGTGCAAAGTAACCTATCAGCTAACACCGGAAGTGACTTTTTGAAACTGCATGTTGTTTCTCATTTCTCTTATTTCAAAGAAAGTACTAAACAAAAATATTTTTGGAATTTGTGCTAGAAAAGTTATGTTCTGACTCAGGCTTTTAACGAATATTTTATTTTTGGTTGCATACATTTATCTGTATAAAAGTTCATTTCAATCTTAGTTATCAACATGTGGGGTGGATTCTTTGAATATTTACTTTGACCTAACTCCCCTAAGAAAAATTCACTTGGTTATATTAGGCCCTGTAGTTAGAGAGAAATACTTGATTTAGTTTAGGTCGACAACGACAACAACAAAAGCTTA